ATATAACTAAGCAATGATTAACTGTTTTCTATTTGTATAAAGCAAAACAAAAAAAAATAAAATAAATTTATTAATACTGTAACGACTTTTTTAATATATACGAATTTATACATATATTGTATATCAACGTTGTTCTAGAAGTATTCGAAATCCTTAATAGTGGAATTATTCGCCTATTTCGCTGGGTATACACCCAAAAAATTTCGACACATCAGCTGGTCTAACTGACTAAGTTACTAAGTTACACACATACTATAAGTATGGATGAAAATAGTAGATGTGGGAGGTTTTCATAAATACTTTCGACACATTTGCTGAACTCAGAATATCATTGAATTGCTATAAATATGCATATGTACAAATGCTAAGCTAAACTACAAATATATATGTACATATATGTATAGCCCTTGACTGATGGAAATGCACGTACATACATACATATATCCGACGTCGTTTCGTATTTTGGAACGTTTTTGTGCATGTTGCCGCACTGCTCTAATGCATGACACCTTAGGTCAATATACTACTACCTCGCTCACAGCCGACTGACGCCATCTTTTGTTTGTAAATAGAAACACATGTGCTTTGTTTTTTTTTTTTTTTGAGAAATGAATGTTGGCATTTATTTATGCTTGACAGTTCGTTTAGGCCGCTTTCGGCCGGCTGAACATCTTAGAACTGGCCATCGCTGCCCCAGGATGTCTTGACGGTATCTTCGTTCCAGTCCTCGACTCCGCCGACAGTTTCGGCAGCAACCTCATCGGCCCAGTTGGTGGTCTCTTCGACGGGATGATCGACGGCTTCCTCGATCTTGGGTGGTGGCAGCAGCTCCTTGGCCGCTGCAGCCTCCTCCTTCTCAGCCTCCTCGGGATCGCGATAGAAGAAGAGATCCACAACTACGGGCCACTCGGTGGTGCGAGAAATGGTACCGCGCAGACGGAGCACCTCACGGGCCAACAACCACCACATAAGACCAATCGAATGGGGCGATTTGTTGTTGCATGGGATAGCAATGTCAATATAGCGCAATGGCGAGTCCGTATTGGTGAACGCAATAACGGGAATGTTCACGTACGACGCCTCCATAATGGGCTGATGATCGGTGTTGGGATCGGTGACAACCAACAGACGTGGCTCGCGGAAAGCGGGCTGGATCTGATTGGTGAAGGCACCGGGCGTGAAGCGGCCAGCAATGGGTGTGGTGTCCGTGTACTTGGCGAACTTCAGCACAGCGCGCTGGCCAATGGGACGTGATGAGATGACGAAGACCTGCAATCAAAATGCGAAATTATAACGCCGCTTACTCAAATAGCAGTCACAAAGCATTTACAGTGTGACCAGTCAAATGTATGTATGCTGTGTTTGGGCGTATCAGTTGAAAAGTTGAAATCATTGAATTTCATACCCGAAAGATTAGATAAATCTCATCATGTGCACCAAACGCAACAAGCATACCCACGATAAGCAAATATATACAATTCATTTGTTACTCACATCGGATGCATTCTCAATGGCAACAATGGCGCGTGCAGCCAAAACCAGTTTCTCCCACGTTTTGCCCAAATTGATGATATTCACACCATCGGCACGACGCTTGAAAACGTATTGCTCCATCTGGAAGTTGACGTTCTCGGAGCCCAGGTGAGTAGTGGCAACCAACATTTTGGTAATGTCATCCTCTTTGAGGGACAGTATATCTAAGCCTCCCGACATTTTAACGTGAAAGAGTTACGAAACCTGTAACAGAACAAGAAAAGCAAATTAATTCAATTGATCTCAAGATTTTAGCTTCACTTTGCAACATAACCTAACTTCAACAAGGCACACGTGCCACAAGATACAAAAGAAAACAAAAAATAAATGCAAAAAATATCAAACAACTGAATTGCAACTGTACTGTTTCTAAAATTGCCAGTTTGCATTATTTAGAATAATTTTTCAGAATGGAAATTGAGTTTTTTTAAACTAAAAAGTAAAACCACTTTACTCACGTTGTGGATGCCGCTGGGAGCGTTGACAAAATGGACGAGTGGTGGACATCGCGAATGCCACTAGGCCTGAATAAGTGTTGATAACTGATAAAAATATTGAATAGCGTACTTTGTCAGACATCGATAACACTTTCCATCTTTTCTAACTTTAATAAGTGTTGGTTAATGTATGCCGATAGTCAGCGAGTGCTACAAAGCTAGCTGCTATAGCTGTTAGGAAAACTTCGATATCATTATTATTTAATTTATAATTTGACTATGGTAATATGGTTAGGCTCCCAATCTCTTTTATTGAACTAGTCTTTTCAGCTCTCAGCTTGAGTTTTATGATATTAATATGTCAGATACTTCCATAATTTGAATGTCTGCTGATGTCTTGAAATAACAGCAATGTAAGTGACATAGCAAATAGCTTGTTGTGAGCATTACAACTAAAACCCGTTAAGATTCCCACTATTTTAATTGAAATWAATGTAAAATTCGGTTTTCTGTATACACATTTATTGCAAGTTTTTTTTTTGTTTTTTTTTTTTTATATACGTAAATGTACGTGTTTTCGCCTTTTTTTGACTACCACATCAAATGCATATTCAATAATATGGGATTTCTTTTCATTTCTGTTTTGCTTTGCCAATACAATTTCTTTTTGTGTAATTTTTGTGAAAAAAATTTCTTTTGTGGTGAACATACATTTTCGTTGCAGATTTTATCCATTCTTTCTTTCATTTGTCATTATTATTTTTATAATTATTATTATTGAGTTTTTACTCTTTTCATGGCATTTATTTTTTAGTTTAAAAGGAATATATATATGTGTGTATGCTTGTGAGTGACTGTGTTTGAGTGTATTTGTGGGTGGTTCCTCTTTCACGTTACTGAATAACATTTAATAATAATGATAAAAAAAACAACATTTTGTATACATAATACATAAAACATTTGCATTTCGCTTAGCTTACGTCTTTTTCTTCTTTTTATTTTTTTGCTTTAGTGTTAAATTACTAACTACTTATACAATGTAATGTTAACTTGTTTTACTTGTTTTAATTTGTTCGTAAAGTTTTTGTTTTGTTTTTTTTTTTTTTTAAATACTAAATTGGGTTTTTAGTTTTTACTTTTGTCTTCTTTTTTGTGAACAATTTGTCTTAAAAAATATATACGTAATAATTAACATTTCGCTATTTTGTTTTGGTTT